GGGGGGGGGGGGATTGTAATCATATTCATTTATTTCACCGAATTCTTCAATTCTCTTTCAGATGAAGTGGCTTGTGTAAATCCCGATATTTGTATGAGTGTGTGTCAAAATAGAGTCGGCTGCTCGAATATAGCATATCCCAAACTAGTGGTGGAAATCTTGCCAATGGGTAATTTGAACCTCATACCTTATTGTGGTTTTGTGACATTCTAATGGCGGATCAAAATCTATGTGTTTAAGGAAATTCATTCCTCTCTCTCTCTCTCTCTCTCTCTCTCTCTCTCTCTCTCTCTAACAAACAAACAAACAAACAAACACACACACACACACACACACATGCACTGGTAAATATTATAGGAAAGCATGAGTGCGCTTACATGTTAGTTAACATCATATACAACCAGAAGAGCGTATTTTTAACTCGCGTGAAAAGAAAAGCAACGAATCATTACACTGTGTTCTTGTGTTCTATTAAAATAAAACAGCAGTGTGTGCCAGTGTGTGTTCAAGTCTTACAACGTTGGAACCGAGGGGAGAGGGTTCGTCGCATAGGAAACGCGCCCTCTCTCTGATTCTGATGCACCCTGGTCTATCACTTCTCCCTCCCACCTATACCAAAAAGTAAGGCATTCTTACGCCCTTCATATGTATGAGAGATTGTTTTACTGTTTTTTTTTTCTTTTGTTCCCCTCGGCAAAATCCAGCGCCTTTGGTCCTGTTCACGTCGAACGTTACATTTTTCTGTATCACACAAGTTTGTAGTATTGACAATATTGTATCCCTGCTTATAATATCGCGAGTCACTAAACGAAGTCCACGAGACACTGCCTTTATGTGGAATAATTTCTTTTCGTCGGTGCATACATTAATAGTACTTTACAAGAAAAGGAGATTATCCCCCCCCCCCCCCCCGTGATTAACTAGTAGATCTGGAACCCTTTGGTATCAGAGTCTTCTAAATTAGCATGAAAATTTTAAGTATTGGCGATGCAATAGTTTTGTAACAAACTATTATCGCGCCCTGTGGTCAGAGAGTATGACACTTGTGTGATAAAAAATTGTTTGGCCCGATGTGAAAAAGGCTTGATTTGCTAACAGTTCTCATCACTCATATCTCAATATGTAGGGTTTCGGGGGTTAATACTGGCTGTCATGCTGTCCGCGCTGACGACAACATTAACCTCTATATTCAACAGCGCCAGTAGCATCTTTACCTTAGATTTATGGACCAAGATGAGAAAACAAGCAACGGAGACAGAGAAAATGATTGTAGGAAGGTAACAACACATTTTAATAAGGAGTCTAGCATACTGTTTGGAGGAGAATTATCTTAGTTTCTCATATCATTATTTGGAAACACCGATTAAGATAATCAGAAAAGGTATTTTGAAAAAGCACGAATATAATGCTCGTAATATCTAGTTTAACGTATTTAACTCAATCCGCTCAGCAATATGGAATATTTTTATTTTGCAGAATATTTATCCTCGTGTTGGTGGTGGTCAGTATTGCCTGGATTCCCATTCTCAATGCAGTGCAGGGGGGACAGCTGTGGAACTACTTGCAGTCAATTTACGCGTATATCGCTCCGCCCTGGTGTATGGTGTACCTCCTCGGAGCGGCGTGGAACAGAATTACGGAACAAGTAAATAATTGTGTTTCTGATTTATTTTGATAAAACGTATTTGGCCTTTGTTCTACTGTTGCTAGATCACCCGGTGAGTAAAAAAGGCTATTTTAATCTATAAAATCGAATTGGTGAACATATTGCTTCAAAATTTTGTTATTTTATGGAATTATATAGCCGTAAAAGGATGCTCAAATAAATGTTCTACGTGTACACATTGCCTTATACTATGATAAGATATGTGTTGAAAGTATATATAAATTTTAGGGGGCTTTCTGGGGCCTTTTAGTCGGCACAGCTGTAGGGGTCACTAGAATGATACTGGACTGGTCGTATCCTAAACATGGCTGCGGGGAAGTGGACACCAGACCTGCCGTGCTGGCCGAGGTGCACTACCTCCATTTCTCCATCCTGAACACCGCAATCTCTGCTATCGCCATTGTTGTGATCAGTCTGCTGACCACTCCGCGGGAGCCTGCTCAGGTACATGTATATTGCCACTACTTGATTGTATTTTATCTTCCATTTAAACCCCCTTTACACTGGGCGGCGTCCTTTTTTGCGTCCCGTAGTACGACCCCTTTTGAGAGCAAAATAAATAAATAAATAATACTTAAAGGTACATACGAGTCGAGCATCGGTGGAGTGTGGATTCCCAGTAACACCACTTCTACTAGTTTCTTATACGACTCAAATAAATTTGACATGCCAAGAGATAAACTGAAAAGACCACTTGATCAGCAATAAAAGAGCTTCCGACTGCTCCTTTCCTGAAATTTTTGGTCGGAAATTTAAACTACTTTCGTGACCTACTTTTCTGCCCCATTGACAAACAGCATAGAATGCTGGCAGAAAAATCCGTTCAAACATCATTTTCGGGGAAAATTAAACAGTGCCTTTTGGTAATTCTTTTAGTTATACTACTTGAAACTATATGCTGGCATTTGGTCGGTTTTTTTGTGGCAAAATATTGGCTTTGTATGCATCTTTAACATGCGGACAACTGGTCGATCATTGAGCATTCATTTTGTAACCAAAGCGATGTTTGTGCCTCCTTTTCTGCTAGTTTCATGGTCGCACAAATGACGGAGAAAGGACGACGTCTAGTGTATAGCAGGTTCCAGATGTTTGTCTTTAAATAGTCTTTCGTGCACTCTTCCACCCATCGGTTTATTCTGTTTATCTTATCATATATTTACATTGAGACATTTTAGATTAATCTTATGATGTGTCAAAAAGGAATGTGACTGAAACGATATAACATATTTTAATACAGGTAATAACCACAAGGCATCAGACAGCCAACGAGCAGTTTTCAAGTGAAAAAGAGTGATGCTTATCGTTCGTTCTTTATATCAGTTAGCAGGTACGACGTGGTTCACGCGGAACAGAAAAAGAAGCTCTGTACTCAGTTTACACACACAAGAACCTGGCGCTGGACCAGGCACCAACAACGAAGAACAGAAGCAGACAGAAGGTTTTGTATATTAAACAAACCGGTTTTAAATCTATCTACAGGGATGTTGAATTTTGTCAATTTTTGTCAGCATTCTTCTTTCTTCATATTCATCATTTTAAACATACAGAAACGGGCAGTTTATTTAGATACTTGCATAATTACCTTTGCCATTTACAATGACAGGTGTTAATACCCGTACTTGTTCCCCCACAAAAAGTTTAGAAATATTTTACTGAATATTGCTGACATTTCTTGATTGCAGAGAGCAGTGCAGCCCCAACTTTGAAGCAGAAATGTTTCAGCGTTTTATGCGGGGTACCAAGCAAAAGACGCCCCACTGAGTCTGCCGAAGAATCCATCCGACCAACAAAACTACCGTCTGTACAAGAAACTATCAAATGGCAGCGGATTCTAAATGTGAATGCTGTTATTTTAATGGCGGTGACGGTGTTTGTTATGGCACTCCTCTATTAGAAATTGGCTTTGTCATAGAAAAGGTATAACTTTTCTTGTTTGTGGATAACATTATGTAACAGATACTAAAAGTTCAGGGCGAATACGATGCTCATCTTTCCCGATAGTTTAGCAGACATACTAGTAAGTGTTCGCAGGTGGGGTTACCTCCGTTTTCACTTCCCCAGACCACCGCTACCTATATAGGAAATATAGATCGCCTTGGATCGTTTTCAACAAAGGTACTTAAGTTAAAACCCTGTCTCTCACTTTTGGTCGTAGACATACATGTAGCATGTCCGTTGGTCAGTCTTGATGGCATGGCTAAGACGATTCACGAATACGTATCATTTTTTGAAACATTTAAATCGTATCGAAATTAGTTCTAACTTAGACTTAAAAAATTACACGGGACTAACAATTACTGAATTTCACGGTTACTACTCTGGCCTTCTGCTGACGTCGTTTAATCTTTTTTTTTGTTTTAGTTGAATCAAATTTGAAGTTTGAAAACATAATCAAATATGATACAGTAACTGTGGGTACATGTACATAACAAGTAGTTTATTCACATAGCTACACCGCATATGTTTTCAAAACATGTATATTTTTACCAAAGAATCACATAGAATGCAGTGGTTTTAACAGGGTTGCATGCGTGTAGGGTACACACGTTTGAACCATTCAAAGAACATCATAACAGAATACCAAGGCACAGAGATTATGGTAAAGGGTTGAACGAAACTTGGTCAACTGACTGATTGTTTTATACGGGTAGCTGACAGTTGTTTATAAACCCTGGCACTACAGAAAAATCACATAAAATGACACAGGGGTATATAACTGAACAAAGATTAGTGCAGTAAAATTTTTTGATAAAAATAATTTACGTAACAATTAGTGTTGACATATATCCGGACTCTATAGTTTTAGACACAACCGATAACTATGTACGCGGTGGGATTAATACCTCATATCCAATACACTGCCAATGTACACAATCACCAGATGACTCTGGCCCATCAGCTGCAATAAACTCGTTTGCACATATTTTGTATATGAGAGTCACAATCGCTTCTACTTATGTTTCCCTAAACTGTCATTTCAACGACCCATTCTGTATATTAACATCCGGCTCCACTTTTCTCCAGTCTATCTCCATACTTAGGTGCTGCTGAGATTTCCAAAGCTTGTAACGGTCCACATGGAAATACGCCGAAAGCATCTCCGCACCTAAAACAAACAATAAAATACTTTTTACAATGATGGTAAAAGACAGTAGGTTTAATTTTTGCCTCCTGCTATTCCAGTTTTTGAATAATATTGCAGTACCAAAGTGTTTAAATAATAAGATTCCGATGACGACGAAGGCATACATGTAGTTGCATCAAGGAGTTGTATCAGATTCTACTCCTTGGTTGAACTTAAATCTTATTAAAATTGTCTGACAGATAACTGAGGCGTAAATAGGTTCTTTTCCTTAAAAGAAAATACAAATGCATTAAAGTCTAACATACCTTCCCTTGACATCTCCAACGGAGCTTCAAATCTCACCATATTCGGCTTCATGAGCTCCGTTAAAGACTTACATAACTGAAATAAAATATGCAAATTTATCTCTGTTGTGACCCAGGAAATTAAATGAAAATGAAATTTAACGATACATATCCGTGAAATATAAAGACAGAAAGAACGTTGTGGGAGCATTTACTACTTTCCTTCGGGGAAAAGACTTTTGTATCGCTGTAAAACGGAGAAACATCTAAAGTATTAGTAATAAACAAAGAATAACATAAATTTTACAATAGCAAACTGTAAAATAAACCCGTTTTATAAAGGACGTTTAGCACTAACCAGTGGATAAGCCTAACCAATGGATAAATTCTCCTGACACCCATTAACTAAAAGATGGTTAAATTGTGTTTTATATACAGTCTTCTAACGGAAAACAGCCAATTAGTTAACTGGCCAGTGTTTGACTGGATTAAATAATTATTTAAAGGTCAGTTTACTAACAGACTATTAAGGTCTGGTTAGAGTTAAACACTGGTTAGTGCTAAACGTCCTTTATAAAACTGGGCCCAGAATGTTTGCGTTTGATGTTACAGTTTTTGCCTTTATTCTTTCATTCACCTTTTCTCCTTGTTTATTTCCATGGAGCCAAAAACCCATGAAGTACACCACAGCGTCCTCTGCCGGGCATTTAGTCATCAAAGGGCCGATCGAGGAGAAAAACCTAAAATCATTACTTTTTGATTAGGAAAATATGAGGTCACTCTTCCAAGCCTGTGTTTAGGTGATGAGACTCCTGGTTATTGACTTTAACAGGCCATAGTTTAAATACGAGGAATCATAAATAAGTCGATAGTACTGTGACGTTGGTACTGCGTGTGCTTTTCATAACAGGTCCGCAGCTCCCTTGTGTTACGCGTGATCACAAAGAGAATTTATAAGTGCGGACAGATCTTGGTTTACACTCTTGCCTAATTTGTTGGTGCAATATCAAATGAAGAGAACACTGAGGAGCCAATACTGACGGTTTTTGATGGTCATAATTGTTTTTCATCATTCAAAACTGGTGATCTTCAACTTCAACTGATTATAAAATAGCGTTGCACCCTCTACTTAGACAAGATTTGATAACACCTTATACCATTCCAGTTACACTTGGTCTACTTCTATAAGCTTTGACAAACGAGTGAAAATTTGACTGTCTGAAGCAGCCCCCGACTCTTACTTTTCCATGTCCTCTTCTCCCGGCTTATGCAACTTAGCTGGAGTGAGCACCCTTTTCTTTAGTATATAGGCGTGGCCGGGACCTCCCTGAGAAGAAAACAGAAGACCATTTTTCATTTAAGTATTATGCAGCAAAATCAGGGCAAAGACACCCCATCTTCAGCAGCTTTCTGCTACATCAAGTGAAAGAGATAATGGATCAAATATAATTGTAAATCGGATTAAGAGTTTAAGAACGTCAGAATTTGGAAAATTCCGAAAAACAGAAATCTGACTGTAGTAGTAGTGAAAGAGTTCTTGCTTGTGAGAATCTTTGCTTTTTAGGTGAGGATTTTAATATGTTAGATACAACTGTCATCAGATCGAATGGAACTTTGTCAGGATTACGCGACAAATGAATGGTGATGCTTGACTGCAGAATGGTTTTACTGAGGGAAAAACTTCAAATACAGCAACGTGTCGTTTGATTTGTGATATCTCAAGAATAACCTACCTGGCAGTAAAATGCAACAGACTCAGCTTTGCTTCCTTGTTTATATTCATTTAGTCGTTTTTCGATCTTTTCTGAAAGGAAAAAAGATTCTTTCGAGATAAAGGGCATAGGGATAAAGCACTTGCACACCATGACCAAACTACCTACGGTTTTTCTATAAATATATATTTTTTCTCTTTGTGACGGTCTGGATGAAATAACATTACACAAGAAAAAAACGAAATTATTTGTGAAAATATTTTAACTCGTTTTATAAAACTGCTTGTTATTTGACCAAATCTTCCAATTTTTTCTTGAAATTAGAATCCGATATACTCTAAAGATACCTCGACTTATTCTAATTGCAAATTAACCTTCAGGCAGACAGCACAGAATATTATTACCTGCTAGTTTCGGAAATGATGTCTTTTCAAAATCCTGAAAAAACGAAATGGAATTTTAATGCCGATTTCATGTGAAACTGGGCTCAGAAATTGTTTAAAGTGTTTGAAAGATATGGCTTAGAAAAATTAGCACAGAAAAATGTTACGAAATTCATGAACACACAACTGCCTACATACAAAGCTTTAAGGATTTTACCAATTAAAGCCTGGCTATGAAAAGTTTTAGATGGACGATTATTACTTCCATGCCCAGTTAACAGAGCGTTCTTCCATACATAAACCCTGGACAAATGAAACAGATTAGATGTCCAAGATTAAACTGATTAAATGCATACAATTAGCATTAGTCGTAAAAAATTAATTGTCACGTCTCAATCGTGTTAATAGAATTCATGCTGTTAATCAATTAGTAAGAAAATAAAGCAAGTAAGAAAAAATATATACTGACCATCAATAAGAACGTTCCAGTAAAACCTAAACTTTTTAGCAGCTATGGAAATGGATTTGTTTTTAGGGTTTCTTCATTGAAGTGATTAGTTGTCATTGGTAGTGTTTCTAAATTTGTCAATCATTGGGTACATATGGTGGACATGTAAAATTTGGCCAAAATGTCCACTTGTCTTCAATGTCTTGGAAATTTTATTAGCAGCATGTGTAGGGTATGGCATGGAAACCCTATGCACGGATTGCTCCGTTAAATGCCACCTTTATCCCCTACTTATTCTGTGATATGATGGTTACCAACGTTTCTTCTTCTAAATTTTGTCAGTCAGTGGGTATATATATGGTAGACATGTGAAATATGGTAAAATGCCCCCTTGTCATCCTTCAGGAAGTCACTACATTTGAATGTCTTACACCCCATTTCCATAGATTTTTAGATCGATCTATCCCTGTGGGGAGTCTCACTAGATTACTGTCAGCTTGTCCGGCTTAAGCGTCTGTCCCGCCTACTAAAAGCTGTAAGGGGGTAAATAACTATGGTGTCCGCTCGGCTGACTGCAATTTAGCCTGAACCCCCAGGGAGTTAGGTCGATCTAAAACTTAATCTTTAGATCGATCTAAATCTCTGGGAAAGCACCCTTTGTAGTGACACTGTTATACAGTCACAACTTTCTTATGTGTGTTACTTTGATAATAAATTACATAAAAAACTCCCTAGAACATTCTTTATTGACGGCCAGTGCATAGCATAAAGACGAGCAATGAATTATAATATTTTACTTACATAGGCTATAGTAATGATGTGGCTTTCCTTTTTCACCACATGCTTGATCAACTGTTCAGCTTTTTGAACATTGGAAGACACTAACTGAAAATCGGAATCAAAATATTTGCTAATCACCAACAAACAGAATACCGCTGATTTTAAAATTTTGGAAATTATTTTCACAGCTTTGATATTCATTTTCAATAAAAGCCTTATGTTATTTTAAAAAAAGCAACGTAGCAGGAAGTAACACAAAATGGCTGAAACTAGAATGTAAAAGAATGCATTACTTGTTGAATATTCATTATGGTAATCAAATATGCTTTGGTTTACAATTTCTGGAAAATCAAACCTTTTAATGCAGACAAGGAATCAAAGAGATGCTACTGTTCGTCATAAATCCTCTGGGCTTCAAACAAAAAGAAATTCATGACCCATAAACATGTTGTAAGCAATTACCAAAATCCTCGGTCTTATCGTCCGTGAAATAAGCTGCGAGCGATCTTCTCTCTTCAGTTTTCCGCATTTTTTCAGTTCCTTTTCTTTTTCTACGCTGTAACCAATGGAATTTGCCTCTAAAGTCTGCTCTGCGAACCATTTCACATCTATGATATCATCTTGAAATGAATTTAGTTCTTCTTCGGTTTGTTCACCTAAAACACAAAATGCGTTTATTTTGTGTTTATTTATTTTGCAATGCAATGCCACTATCATATGTATCTGGTTGTAGCAAGGACAAGTAAACAATTTTCAAGTTCAGAAAGTGGAAAACGGATGCTAACTTGAAACTAAAGGTGATATCACTATTAGTGCTCGGTCGCAAATTGGATGCTTTCGAGTTATGCAATAGCGACGAATCGCCATGCTTGCGCTCGGTCGCAATTTGTGATGCTGCCGTGTTATGGAGCCCCATGATTACGTACCACGTGCCACCAGTGTTATTTTCAGCAGAGATTTCACATTCACTGTCTCGCAGTGATATACACCTCTAAATACATTGGTCAGTTTATACATCTATCATTTTAAATTCTTCATAACATATTTCATAGGTTTCGGAATTATAAAACTACTATTTGCCAAGTACTTAGTTTTTCTAACAACAGCAAAAAAAGGTTAAGTATTCTTCTAATCAGTAATCATGTCATTTAAGATCCCATAACCATTTCAGTTTTAAGAAGCAATGAACTAAAATGGGATCTTGCTGACGTTTGACTTTTCAGGGAGATTGCAAACGCATTCCCCATTAACAAAAATTACATTTTCCTCTATTTCCTGTCCTATTTTGTTTTAAATATTTCTTATTCTTTTTTTCATTGCTATCTGGTATTTGTTTCATCACTCTTTTATTGAAACTCTCCAAGTAGATTATCCGTTGCCTTCATCTTCTTTTTCCTTCTGAGCATTCTATATAAGTCAGAATTTCACCCTTACTTCCCCACAACTCCTGTGTGAAAGTATTAATCAACTGGTGCTCATTTGGTACTTCTGTTTTTTTATCTTCTGTTATTTTATCCTGTAAAATATCCCTTTATCAAAACGCGAGGCATATAAAACCAACATAAATTGTCTTACCTATTTTTATTTCTTCGCTCCAGTCGACACGTTTTAATTTTCCTTCTTCTTTCCATTGCCTGCTGCGATTTTCTCTTTTTTCGTGTCTCTTTTCTAATGTTTCACTCAGCTGTTGATTGGAAAGTCTCCTTCTATACATTCTGAAATTAAAAAAAAAGAAACTTTAGTTTGATAACGGGTCCATCACCATGAAACACAAGCCTACTTGTTTTTTTTTTCACTTTCATACATCGGAACATCAATTTTTTCTTAGCAATAATTTTGCCATAATTTATCATTTTAGTAAATACTTTTTTGGGTTTGATGACAGAAAAGTTCGACCAACGTACATTGCCAAAGTAGTGTGACTGTCGTTCAGTTTTTTATCATCACACCTAGGGAGTCTTGATAATGTGTTAAGCATTTTTCCTGATCTCCAGTTTTTTCCTTCTATCCTTCCACTTTGGGCAACATCAACAGAGGTGTCGTTTGCATATCTTGGGCGTCTGTAATTATCCTGCCCATTCTTCTTCGGTTTAAAAACGTGATATGTTCTATTTTGCAACTTCGACGTGTAAGTGATCTTGTCTCCATTTTTATCGACAAGGATTCTGTTTCTGTGACCGCAGCATATGCACGTGACGTATTTAAAAGGCATTTTGTCAAGGCCAGGTATTAAATACATGAGCGTCGTTCATGCTTTAAGGTGCAACTAATGGCTTTTAATTAGAAAATGATTAATGGACCATGCCCTGGTTTAGATACGTCGCATTAGATCACCATATTCAACTTTTCATCCCACCACAGTACTCGATCCCATCGTTTGTAATATATAATGCCCAAAATATGCATCAGTTTATACCACAATCAAATTCAAAATCTTTGTGAATCTGATTTTACCAAACAGGAATGACACCATATGTCTCAGAATGGGCAATTCATTTGTCCCAAACCTCTATTCACATTGTGCTGTTCCTTTGGAGCGTTGTTTCATTCCTACCAGTATGCTAGCATAACTCTCATAATTTAACTGGTGGACATCTTGTGTGGTATCAGCACCTTCAAGAATTAACTTCCACGCTCAATAAAATCCTCATAAAATCCCAAGATACATTGAATTCTTTTCGGGTCACCGTAAGTTCCAAAGCCAAATTGCAAAAGACTAAGAGACAAATCATCATCAGCGACCCTAAAAACGTCTGCCACCTTAGCTTTTCAGAAGTTCATCAAGGTATAGATATCATACGTCTTCTCTGAATAATTTATAAAGATAAGATGGATATGTGCCATTTATACCAAAATTCGTGTGTAATACGATTTCCCACGGGTCCACGTAGTAATCAATCCAGGTAAGCCGAGATGTTCATTAAATGGCGGTTCACGCACTATATTTGATGCGTCCCGAACTGATTAAGCAGATGTCGGTGCAATTTCTACAGTTAGTTAGAGTTAAAGGAAAAGTTAGATCTATTAAGAATTTTTATGGTCTAGTCAATTACTGTTTAAGGGTTACTGTATCAAGTTTCGACATCTTTGAATTTGTTTCAAATATCATTTCACCTCTGTGTTCTCCTCTGTCACTTCTGACAACGCTGAACTTGCTTTCATCTGAGAACTGTATCATTGTCCAGTTGTTGGCTGGTATCCATGCCAGAGTTCTGGTATACCATCTAACTTTGCGTAGACGGTTCCTGGCGGCGATCACTCGTCTCCTAACAGCAACCCTGCCAAAATAACGGCGGTTGTGCAGACGTCTTCAGACAGTAAACTCAGAAACATGGTTTGCCCTATTCTCGTTCAATGCTGCAGTCAGGTCCCGACGTGTCATGGAACGTTTTCTACGAGGAAGTCGTGTTAACATTCTCTCTTCTCTATGTGTGATTTCCTTCTGTCGGCTTTAACCAGACAATTTTGCTTATGTGCCTGTTTTGTTAAGATTTTGTCTAACCTTCTGAATGATTCTCATGGAACAACCCGACCTTTTGGCCATTCGGAGTGTCAAAACTAACTTCTATGTCAGCCGCTTGGTAAAAATGTATTCCTCTCACTTAGATGCCGCATATTAAAATATATTTGGTGTCGGGGTATTTCAGTGGTCACGCTAGGTAGGTCAATGTTCTAGTACTCGCATCCTCAATTTATTTGAAGATCGGTAGCCTAGATTTTATGCAATTGTAAATTCAAATCTATGGGCACCTTTGTAGCAATGTGCATAAATGCGGTAGGGATGATATTTTTCAAGAGTATATACTTCGCTGCACTAATAATTAACCTACTTTACTATTAATTGTCTATCAATAAGATTAATTGATTCAAGAACTTTTTGTACGCATTTTTAACATGTTCACCTGAGCGTTTCAATGTATCAAACGATTTTTTCAAAGTAGTCAGACATTGAATACTCTTACCTTTGAATTTTCGTGGCAGCTTTGGATGCCTCGTTCGATCTTTCTCTGGACCTGTACCCACGCCATATACTGGGAAAAATTGAGAATCAAGGTGTTGAAATAAAAACCAACTTTTAGTATATAACCGTCGACGCAAAAGTAGATGGTAAATAATCTTCAAAAAGCAAATATTATGCAACACTTGCAGTAAGAATGTTAGGTTACTTAGAATTTACAAGGCGAATGTGTCCATCAACTAGGAGAATGGTACTTCCGGACTCATCCAACTTAATCACATTCCAAATAAAAATATGAATTGTATGTGTCATCGTATTTGAATTAAAACCCAACTGTTTAAAGGACTGGTAACATTTTAATGCAATACACATTATGCATTATTATCGTATAACCATACCATCTTAACGCTGCAGATACCCGTTTTACTTTTCCCTCTTCATATATCCATCCATTCAAGTTTTCAGTCGTACACCATGCCATCCAACAAGTCAGACACTTCACATGCTTCTTCATGTTCCTCACTGCCACAAAACCCATGATATTTGATCATAACTGTGCCAGTGAACGTTTGGGGTAGAGCAAAGATGACTTCTGACCGATACGTTAAACAGAAGGATGGACAATATGCTATTGCAATGTTATTTCTTAAACGATACACTCTGGGCAAAAAAAAGAAGACAAAATGGCTTTCTGTGACTGTCTGTTATTTATCATCCCCTCTCTTTTGGGACGAAAGTCTGGTATCATGTTATCCTGCTCTGTTATCCCACTCGCGCATCAGTGAGTCAGTTCGTGAGTCAGTGTTTCTAATAATTTCTGATATCTCCTCTTAGATTCCAGATTTAGTGACCTGTCATAAGGGATGTGCATGGTTTTTTTTTAGAATTTTAATGTGCCTGGGGATTGGGCTGTCCCTGGGGGTGGTTTATCTAAATTCTTTCACAATGAAATTTCCGCTTTATCCTCCTAAACCATTGGAGTCAGGAAGTTGAAACTTAAGTCATCGATAGACCTATCATCAGGGATGTTCATGGGCATTTCAGAGATTTAGTGCAACAGGGGCTGGGCTGTCCTTGGGGGGTGTTTTGATTTTAAATTCTTTTCAGATCGTATTTTCCGCCATCTCCTCCTAGACCATTAGGGGTAGGAAGTTAAAATTTTAGTGATTGGTAGACCTATCATCAGGGGTGTGAATGGGCATTTCAAAATTTTAGTGCAACATGGGGTTGAGCTGTTCCTGGGGGTGGCTGATTCTAAATTCTTTTCATATTGATGTCTTCTAACTTCTCCAAGATCGTTAAAATGAGGACGTTTAGCCTAAACTTTGGGGATTGACCTATTAGCACAGGTGTACATCGCCACTTCACTGAGAATTTTAGTGCCCCTTGGCATAGGGCTGTCCCTGGGAGCAGATGATTCTAATTCTTTATTTCATGGGAATTTCTGCTATTTCTTCATAGGCCATTGGAGAGAAGAAGTTAAAGCTTATAGGGAAATAATAGACCAATCATAAGGGATTTGCATGGACACATTGGCATTTTGTTGCGTCTTAGGGTAGGGCTGTCCCTAGGAGTGGATGATTCAAAATTTCTATATTGTAACTTCAGCTATCTCCTCCTGGACCATTAGAGCAAGGAAGTTAAAACTTTTGGGATTGATAGACCTATCATCAGGAATGTTGATGGGTCATTCATAATTTATATGCTCATGGGGGTTGGGCTGTCCTTTGTGGTGGGGTGGGGTATATTTATGATGTTATTGAGGATTATTTGCAAAATTTATACATACAGGACCCAGGCATTACAAAAGATATTAAGAGAATGGGCTCCCTGAGAGTGAGCTATACATTACAATGTGGGGAAGTGCGGAGTTATGGATGGCAAACCATAGACACCATCTTGTTTTAATTGGATATATACGATGCAGAAACTCAGGTGTAACAGCTAGAAAATGGAGCACAAAATTCATAAAATTAAGAAAAAAAGACTTCTTGAATTTCCAGATCATTACGTAAATGTATCTATCGCATACTCAGTTAAGTATAATATAAGTGGTCGGGGGCGGACGCAATTCTTTTTCTTCTCACTGTCCGTCATTGTGTCCTCGTCTTTGTCTTCATTCTGGTCCTTTGATGACGTCATACCAGTACCGTGGACTTGTATTGCAGGCATACATATTTCGTCTCCCTAAATTATTATATATAATATGTATGATCACCAAGATCTACAAAAATAAAGGCAATTGTAGTCTCATTAGTCTTATGCCCGTCTTTGAGGTTGATTTGTCAGTGTTTAAAAAATTATCATTATCTGATTTTGAACATTTTTGTTGTGGGTCATCCCACAAAAAATAAGTGAACATTTGAGTAACGTCAGTCATTCACACGCTTCGTGTAATAATTGCATTACTGTCTTATAGCACGTTTTTATTACTGTTGATTTTTTTCATATTGGAGTTGAGAAAATAATGGGGCATATCAGAATTATACAAAGGTTTCACAAAATTTGTGCGTCAGTACAGGGTGATTAACGTTCCTCTTATTGTCATTGACATTATGATATAAATTTGGATGGAATTTTGTCAATCATTTTCGTATTAGATTTGATGGTTTGGGAGAATTGTAGAAAAATCAACAGCACGAAAACTAGTGTTTGATAACATTTCTATTACAACTTTGGTCTGCTTATTTTACAGAAAATGAAATATGATTTTACTTCGGGGAAAAACACATATAATTTCTTTTCCTCGTTGGACTAGAGAGGGCGCCACAGTAGAAAGTAGCCAGAGCTTGTTTGAAGTACATACTTTTCTCGACTTTTATTCACAGTTAAAACTTAGTTTTAAGGATTGAAAACTTGTCAGTAATTGATCAATTAATTTTTAAAAAAACGTCATTGGTTATTGGTATCTCATGTAAAACTTTTTTGGGATAACAGTAAATATAACTGATGAAGAGTATGTCGGACCAATTAATAATGATAATAATAATATAATCGTAATCAAAATAACAAATTTGTGAATGATTTGTTTGAAACCCCCCATACCTGCAGTAGCTCGAACATAACGTTGATATCCTTATCGCAAGCATCCAGCTGAGCCACTGAGTCCCCGTACACTGCATGTAAGACTGCAACGTCCTCCGCCATTGCGCTTACAGTGAGTCACTTACGCCTCCTTTAACCTCCTATCATTCAGCTGTCACTTGGTTAACGTAATTATTCTGTACCGTCCCAGATAGGCACAAAAATCTCAGTTTAATATTCATTATATTAGATCAGTCGATCCGTGGTCTCACATATGCATAATTTCTTAGTCAGCTGTACCATACAGTACATAGCTCAAAGTAGGCTGTATTCGAATTCGCTGTGCAGCTTTCGAATTTGTTGAATGGTTGAATGGTTGTTCTTCATCTATACCACACGAATAACTTGCTTGATACATGTTTTGAAAAGTTAGGTCACAAAAACATCGACCGGTGCCATACCGTGAGCAAGTATTTTAAAACATGGCTCAAATCTATACAACATAAAACAACTTGTCTACAGCAGCATGCGTAACTGCCTCATACCGGTCGTTTCCTGTTTACGTGTTGTTCAATTTTTTAATTCGGATAATTTATTGATATTGCATTGGTCGTCTTTTGTACTACTTAGCGCACCGACGCCCTCCCTTCTGCATCAAAAAAGAAGACTTCGTTAAATCAATGCAATCCTTAATCACCGGCGCATTGATCTCTGGAGGAAATTGACCCCAAACGCCCTGTTTTGATTGCGTGGATGCGAATAAATTGTTAGGATGAGACCTTGGTTTCCTGGGACGAAGGTGAAACTTTAAAGTACCCAGTTTAATATCAACATATTTTCGATATGTTTAATATCATATCACAAACTTTATAATAGCGAAACCCACAATCAGCAAAGGGAAACCATTAGGTCGATGGCAAAGGCCTACGTAAAGACATTTAGAAATTAAACCATATACATTGTACTGTTTTAGTTAGGAAAATACGTCCAAAAAGACAGTGGTGTGAAGGCAATGCAATTTGCCCTTTTTGCCTTTCCAACATACAAGTTGTGTGCAGATTTGTGCCAGAGAAAACAATTATTACTTGACTCACGACGCATGCAGCAGAAAAAAATGTCTGTCTCGTGTAATGAAGTATCACTAACAAAATCAAGCAGTTGATTAAAACCGCCATCGATTGTCCGGGAAATGAATCCAAATCATCAATACAGAAGTCACTTTTAACCACCCAAAGAAAGGAGTGATATTATTGGCGCGAAATGCGCTAGAGAATGGAACTTTTAACTGCAAATTATCACTGGTATAAAATAAATGCTACCGGGGACACCATTTTAGTCAAAGCACATGATCAAACCATTATCTACTGGTCATTTTCCCTTCCATCTCTTTCACTCTCTTTCTCTCTCTTTCTCTGCTTACGACTGTATTTTCAGCACGGCCACCATTGCTCTACCATCTGCTAGTGGGTCGGCGCACTGTAGTGATGTTCGGTTGGTATTTACAGGGGCTTAAATGAACAGAGTGGGTGGGGTCTGAGTAAGATATGCAACTTAAAACCAGTAGTATAATTGTTATATAAAAGCTAAGACTGTGTTTTAATTAAGATTGCAGAATTTGCTATATCAGCCTCGGCAATATAAGAAAACAAAATGTTCAGTATAAGCTTAATGTGCTTCAAACATAAATGATACAATAATATTATGGGTCTTTTAGATAATTTTATTCCTTATAAGCATAAAGTGTATAGATTCCATAGGAATCATTTTTAACATACCTTTTCCGTTTCCACCCTGAGCGCTTGTTGCGGTAGATGCACCTTTACCCTGGCTGCAATAACAAACCAATAAACGCAACTGACACAGTGCAATTGTCAAGACTTAAGTGACAAACATTGTGTCGAACTGAATGTTTGCAGATCATGCTGTTTGTAAGGTTTATTATACTTACTTTGCAACAAATACTGAATATACTGAATAAATACATAGACATGATAAAAACACATACGTGTATATATTATAAATCTCACACATTGCTTGTTTGCAATATATGCATTGATAATATTACGGGTCTTTTCAATCCTAATTCCTTGTCATCTCCCTGAGGAAAATACAACCCGAGCTGCGGCATACGTAGCGCTCAGAGTTATCATTAACAATGACCAGCTTCAATACCATATGACCAGGTTATTTTCCCTATTTCAACCCAAACTTAGATCCCATTCCCAAAGACACCATCATTCTGCGTGGATCGATCCAACTCTGCGGGGACTCTCGCTAAGTGCAATCAGCTTAACTGAACGACACACCTTCTCTTGTTTTCAACGTACTTGTATAATCACCAGCTTTTCTATTTATTTCACTCCAGTATGAGGCGTCTCATTCAGTTTAAAAACTGACTGTGCACAGTCAGCGAGAGGCCCCGTATAGTTGGGTTGATCCACGTAGACCGATGGTGCTATGGGAATGGGGCCTTAGTGAGATACACTTAAAATGGAGAAATGATTTTGGAAATACTTTTCTCAATTTGACAAAAATTAGCTTACACAAAAAAGTTAATACTAGAACAGTTATACGGGGCAAAACAAGCATAGCTGGCACAACTAACCTTGCATTTTTCTTCTCTTTTGATGCACCTGATCCCATGTTGGCCTTGTGGAGAGAATTTTTAAGTTGTATCTACGCCGTCTCTTCTGAGTGAAACGTCAAAACCGATCGCGGAGTGGTGACTCGCAACGCTTCAGAAATTTGGGAAGAGATCGCGTCGCTGCTATGATTTCTGAAGATCAGTTATTTCCATGTTCTTGAAGTCCTTGTATGGCCAGCTATTTGCTTGATTAACAGGGTCAATTTTTCATACCTTTAAATTCTTAAAGGAAACCGTTTGCATATACATTAATAGGCAAGATGTCAAATATACATTTACAGAGTCGCTTACTGCATCAGTCTCTCTTATGTAGGTGGGTCGATCGCCATTAGAAACGATTGTCATCAGTGAAATAATTGCCTGCAGTTACATAGAAATCTAGTTGTATGTTCCCTTTTCATTTTAATACCCACGTGAATCGAACTTAGCACACCTGATGTTTACATGGTGTATTGTGCGCCTAAATAATCTAGCTATAATAAATATGAATGGTTGGGCTGGTCAGTTCAAAACATTGTAAAAACATTTGTCGCATGGGTGGACGATAAGTTCTGCCTTCTCCAACACAATCGATTTATACTTCATATGAAAATACGAGAAACCCCAAACTGGACTCGTGAAAATGATGTAACCGACCGTAGCGTTAAATCTTCCATTAAAATAAACCAACTTGAATCTCGGAGTTAGCTAGGTTTTCATATTGTTTAGCTGATTATTCAACTAGCAGAAGACGCACGCCAAACACATAATATTGTTTATGGGACAATTAAATTTCCATGTGTGATTTAAATGATTTGTCAGCAACACAAATGTTTTAAAAACGGGTGGGAATATGTCAAGAAAAATACGATATCGGAAATAAAGAAATAAATTCACACTTGGAGAATTATAAAGATATTATCTAAATTAAAGTCTTATATTGAACGTCTACGCTTCGCTTAAAACTGTATACCGAGAGGCCTTGCGTACATTGTAGGCCTAAGTCTTTTTAAAAGCAGCCGTTGACTGCTATATAGGCCTAGATCCTACGCAGATTGATTTCTTTTTTTCTCAAGATGTCTTAACCGAGTCTTGGTACTTTTTATGTAGGCCTACTAAAAGTTCTTTGATATCAAAGAAAGCGCTATTGAATAATATCATTCTCGTCTTATACGAATGAAAATTTTTGCTGAACAATTTCGCGGAATACTGCTTCGTGAAAATGCTTGAGATGTGCTGGATCACAACAGATGCAATCATCAGTTCCGGAGACAGATTAGACAAATAGAAGTATACCCCCTCCCCATCTTTGTTGTGTCCGCCCATGCATAATTTTTGTTACCTTTTTAACTTTTTTTCTTGGCGTCCTCGCACTAACTAAAATAGACAGGAATACTTTTTCAAATAGAAAAACAAAAGGACTTCTCTGGCAACTTAAGGAAATAAATGATAACGTTTTCCGTTCAATCTTACGTGAGTTTGTACAAATTAATATAGAAGGACAATATTGAGATTGAAAAGATCATATTTTTAATTGCACTAATTCTGTCTAAATGCAATTTGCACCTAAAAACAATTTTCTTGTTTCGTTCCCCCTTCTTACCCAAACCACCTAGCGTGCCATGTTGGCTATCAAAAATCGATCAGTTGTGCTCCTTTGGCAGTGGGCTACTTGAATTATAGGATAGTTTTTCGAGATTTATTTGAAACGATGCTTAGGTGATTGGGACGAATGCCCCCATGGGTTTATTTGAGGAACAGTACAATTGATCAGTTTTGGACTTTTGAAATAGTATTTCAGGTTATTTTAGGTATATTTCAATACAATACACAATCGGAATACTGTTGTGTAAATGCTGTATAATAACTAAAATAAAAACCATTCAAGCTCGTGACTCATTCGTCCCTGGAGTAAATTGGAGTATCGTCACGTGACTTCGCGCGACCGGAAGTTACCGCAACATGGAGGAGTAAAGAAAGTTTTTACGCTCTTCGTTCCTGAGGTGTTTTTTTGCAAGAATTTTGGCATTTTGAAAGAGATCGCATGTATAATAGCTAATGTGAACCTAATGCACTTCTGGAGTTGTTAGCATTAGCTTTAAATTTACACTTTCGAACACTGGGCTGCACAAATCTCCTGTGTAAATTTGAAGACTCGCGGCACTGGATTTAAATCAAGCACTTTGGCCTTGCTCTACAAGGTCGTATGGAGAGCTACTGTTAGCGAAACACAGAATCACGTATGCCTTATGGATTAGCCGTCTCTGGCAACGATAGCCTCAGAAGAATGCCAGAATCAAAGAAAATGCCGTCCAAGAAGCAGTACGATCTTGTGTCGGACGATGGTTACGACAGTAGGATTCCTTTGCACAACGAAGAGGCTTTCCAACATGGGATATCCTTCACTGCCAAGGTATGTGGATAAGAGATTATTCAGATCAAAATGTAAGGTTTTGTTACGTGAAAACTTATTACTTTTTTAAGTTAGGCAGTTTAGTTAATATTTTTGCAGAAAAATTGGAGGGATAAAACTTTTTCATAATCCTAAAATTTTGATGACCCTTTAGTTTTTTTATTTCTCTGTAGTTTGAGGGCATTTTAACATTGACAGAATTTCAGTATATCACTGGATGGCTTGAAACTATGATAACATGTCTGTTGGTCATTTATACATGATCTGATGATTTATTGCTTCCATTAAATTTTTTGTGGTAAGATATTGATTGATTGATTCTATGGCAAATCAACATTTTACTTGAACAGTTGATATGCTCAGGCATAGTAAATGTGGGTGCACCTTGTCTCAGGAGGAACATAAATGAGATATTTGGAAATAGCATAGTGACACCAGGTATTTTTGCAAAGATTGCATTGAATATGAAGAAATTTTGTGGTAACCTTTAAAAATGTCAGCATACAATGATTAATAAGACTGTCAAAACATCATGGGAAGTATGCCAACAAAAAATTCAGTAATAACAAACTTACCTGGTTTCAGTCAGCACATGATATTTCTTTAAAAAATCATATAAATGACCTTAGTTTTTGTGATTAACGGCTTAAACATCGGAAATAGAAATGTAGATGGCAACTTCAGTAAAACAAAGTTATCATGGCTCTGGTATTAATGTGATATGACCACTAAGTGAGTTCACTTGTTTTGTTACCTCAAATGAAATACAGTAGCTTTTTCATGCACATGATAGAGGAAAACTGTCAGTAAGTTGGTGAATTGAGTTGCGTTCGGATATCGTTTGGAGTAAGTGTGGAAAAATGTTATGAAGACAAGTGCTTCAAGTACTTGATTATGGAACAGAAATGTTTTTCATGTACATACATGTACAAACCAAAATGTACATATGCTTCTCATATCAAGAACATGGAACAATCAGCATTGAAAGCAAACCTTTGTATCTGCTTTTATATTTCATTCTCAGATAGGCTGCAGAATGATTTAGAAACAACATTTTATTCAGTAAGGAAGGTACAGGAATATTACGTTTTATATTAGTAGATTAGATTCCAGTGCACACCTAACAATAGCAAAAAATATAGGGAAATACATCTGTTAAAGAAGAGAGGATCCATCTTGTACACAGACAGGTAACTGAGCTGTTTTAGTTGTGTACAAAAAGCAAGGCCTGGGTCTGTGTTAAAAATAGTCTGTTAGTTAATGAGTGGCACTTCTAATTGATGGGTTTTACCTGTAGGGCAGGAGGCAGCTGGACTAGGGTCCATTCCTAGACTTTGTAGATCACACATTACAATAATGGTTCTAGCTGGGACTCAATACACCTTCATATATACTGGATCTTGAGTTCTTCTTAACCTGTTGTCAGGTTAATTATAGTGACGGGAGTCTGAAACTTTTCTATAGAAAGACTTGTGGGGTGGTCTACACTAGCAACTGGTTTTGTTTAAAATGTCCTGATGAAGTTTTAGGAAGTGTATTAGGCATTGATGAAAGGAGTATGGCCAGGAGCAACTCTCTCTTGCTCCCATGCACGTACACACACACACACACACACACACACACACACACACACATGTACATTGTAGTATTTGTTGCATTGTGTGAATTCAATTGAATGTGTGCATTTATCTTGGCACATTTGTTTTAATCTCTGTAGGCACCAGGGCATCATGTTCTGAACACAATTGTAGGTGTAGCAAATACAGACCACACATATTTACCATCATAAACCTTGAGTAGGTTTTCTTAAAACCTGTGAAAATTTTAACAGGGTGCCTATGCCGTTTTTGTTTATGCATCACACTTGGAGCTTTAAAGCCTTAAAAACCATAAATGACTTTGTTTAAGAACATTATTTGTTGGGGTTAATCTCCAAAAGGTCATCTTTTTCAAGCCATGAAGCAAACATAAAATAACTCTTTACAGCTTGTGCTGACCTCGTGGGCTTACTGCACACATGTGATGTGTTTTTTCCCCCACTAGAATCAGGTCAGCAGTGCTCAGTCAGCTGTAGAACCAGTTTGTGAAGCTCTTCATATTTTCCCATAATAAGCATTGAATTCTGGTCTTGTGTGAGGTCTTGAACTGTAGCTCTGTGGTGTCAAGTCTATCAGCCTCGGGCAGTCAAACCTATACAGTTAGATCACATTTTGTGGGTTGTAGCTTTGTCACTTACATGCAGAGTGATGGCAGCTTGGTTGATAAAGATGGAAGAAATTTGAATTTTTTGAGTTGTTAAAGGAAATGACAGTCAGGATTGGATGGACCTCACTTGTAAAAAATTTTTGTCTGTAGCCCACTCTCAGCTGAGGGTGAGGTCCCATGAAAAAGGACAATTGAAATTCTTGATTGAAAATCTGAATGTTATTGTTTTTTTTACTAATTTTTTTTCTCTCTTTATTCAGTTTCTTTTTTTAGTTTCTTTCTGTTTTCAAAACATTTATACCAGTGCCTTACTTGTGAGACATTTAGCATTACATACCTGAGTACCCTAGCGGTCATGCTGCTAGGTATACGTGCAGTAGTATGCACTTAAAACTATATGCTGATCAACTTTCATATCTGCTCTAAAACCACAGAGACCAAGGAGGGTTAACTGCAGCCAATTTGTAGGTGGAGATAGCAATCTGTGTTGCCACCTACCTGATCTACAGGTTTGATAAGGTTATTGGCAGTCTCACTTCAATGGGACGTGGGTTTTAGAATGAATCTGTAAACTTTGTGACATCTCCCACCACTTCCTGAAGCATTCTGAAATAATGTTGGTCATATTTTCCAGCTTCATTCCTATCTGATTAAAAATTATAACATTATATTTGTTGGTGAAAGATCTTGGATTTATACATTGTTTGATCCTTGCTGCCCCCCCCCCCCCCCCCCCCCCCCCCCCCCCCCCGCCCCCTCCACCCTTCTCCTCCCC